GAAAAAGTGGCACATAATTGTGAAATGGAAGGAAAATGAGAAGTGGTTTTCAAGATTTTTTACAAGTAAATATCTGAAAAGTGTGGCGTGCATTTGTATTCAGCCCCCCGGAGTCAATACTTTGTAAAACCACCTTTCGCTGCAATTACAGCTGCAAGTCTTTTTGGGGATGTCTCTACCAGCTTTGCACATCTAGAGAGCTAAAATGTTTGCCCATTCTTTGCAAAATAGTTCAAGCTCTGTTAGATTGGATGGAGAGCGTCTGAATAGCAATTTTCAAGTCTTGCCACAGATTCTCAATTGGATTTAGGTCTGCACTTTGACTGGGTCATTCTAACTCATGAATATGCTTTGATCTAAACCATTCCATTGTAGCTCTGGCTGTATGTTTTGGGTCATTGTCCTGCTGGAAGGTGAACCTCCGCCCCAGTCTCAAGTCTTATGAAGACTCTAACAGGTTTTCTTCTAAGATTGCCCTGTATTTGGCTCCATCCATCCTCCCATCAACTCTGACCAGCTTCCCTGTCCCTGCTGAAGAAAAGCATCCCCACAACATGATGCCACCACCACCATGTTTCACGGTGGGGATGGTGTGTTCAGGGTGATGTGCAGTGTTAGTTTTCCGCCACACATAATGTTTTGCTTTTAGGCCAAAAAGTTAAATTTTGGGCTCATCTGACCAGAGCACCTTCTTCCACATGTTTGCTGTGTCCCCCACATGGCTTCTTGCAAACTACAAACAGGACTTCTTATGGCTTTCTTTCAACAATAGCCTTCTTCTTGCCACTCTTCCATAAAGGCCAGATTTGTGGAGTGCACGACTAATAGTTGTCCTGTGGACAGATTTTCCCACCTGAGCTGTGGATCTCTGCAGCTCCTCCAGAGTTACCATGGGCCTCTTGGCTGCTTCACTGATTAATGCTCTCTTTGCTTGGCCTGTCAGTTTAGGTGGATGGCCATGTCTTGGTAGGTTTGCAGTTGTGCCATACTCTTTCCACTTTCGGGTGATGGATTGAACAGTTCTTCATGAGATGTTCAAAGCTTGGGATTTTTTTATAACCTAACCCTGCGTTAAACTTATCCACAACTTTATCCCTGTCCTGTCTGGTGTGTTCCTTGGCCTGTTTGTCCTTTTAATGTTCTCTAACAAACCTCTGAAGGCTTCACAGAACAGCTATGTTTATACTGAGATTAAATTACACACAGGTGGTGTCAGGGCTCCGGGTATGACCAGAGGTATGTGAACTGACGCAGGGAAATGCAGGCTTCAGATATGTTATAAACAATATAATTTATTAATACTAACAATACATAAACGCAGTGCAATACTAAAACATAACACAGTGCAAACAAACCAAACCACCCACAGATAACAATACATACAATGCAAGCGTCGTCAGGCAGGCCGGGTCAATAACAATCGGGCAGGTAGGAACAGGAGGAGCAGGCAGAGAGTAGTCAGGTCACGAGCCGGGTACAGCAACTAACGGGCAGGTAGGTACAGGGGGTCAGGCAGAGAATGGTCGGGGTCACAAGCCAGGGATCAAATAGGAGAAGTCAGCAGAGGTCCAGATCAGGCAGGGTCGGCAACGAATCAGTCAGACAGGAACAGGAACAGGGATGCAGGTAACAAGATACAGGGACCCATAGAAAAACACACACCAAGGCACAGACTGCAGGTCTGGCCATCCCTTAAATACATCTGCAATCGGCCTCAGGTGTTTTGGCTGACTGCAGGGTTGAGTCTCTGATTGCTGAGAGCACCCGCTGGCCAGCCCTGGTACTGCAGCCCACAAGGCAGGTGAGTCCCACCATTACTGGCAAGTCCATTCCTGACAGGTGGACTCTATTTACTAATTGGGTGATTTCTGAAGGCAATTGTTTCCACTAGATCTTAGTTAGGGGTATCAGAGTAAAGGGGGCTGAATTCAAATGCACGGCACACTTTTCAGATATTTATTTGTAAAATATTTTGAAAACCATTTATCATTTTCCTTCCACTTCACAATTATGTGCCACTTTGTGTTGGTCTATCACATAAAATCCCAATAAAATACATTTACATTTTTGGCTGTAACATTACAAAATCTGGAAAATTTCAAGGGGAATGAATACTTTTTCAAGGCACTGTGTATGTATGTATGTATGTATGCGTGTGTATATGTGTGTGTATTCTGTTTTCCATTTTTTTTTCATTTTTTTCATTAATTAATTGGTTGTAAACCTCATTAATTAATTGGTTGTAAACCTTAGACATGAAATCTGAACAAAGCAGTTTATTTAAAGTGTTTATTTACTTCTCTTCAAAACCCAAAGTTTTGTCATTTCTTTCTGCTGTCTCAGTTCCTCTGCTAGCAGCATAAGTCACATCTGACAAGGTTTCCTGACACCAAGAGCTAAAAAGGTGACAGAGGAGGGATATCCAGCTGATTGACAGTCTCAGCTCTGTTTCTGTGGGCTCTGTGAAGGGTCCCTTCCCTCCAAACAGCTCTCAAGAGCTCTTGTACAGTGCGTAACTGCAGGTCCCTGCCCCCTGCTTTGTGAGTCTGTGAAAAATCCTTTTTGTTTGCAAGTATGTGCAGGACAAATGGCTGCAGATAAACGGGTACAACTTACATAAGAGGATTTGTTTCACCTCTCTGTATCATCTGAGGCCAGTCACTTCACTAGGTATAGGCAAAAGTTTACAGCCAGTATAAATGATTATTTTTAAAAGTAAAAGTGATTCTGACAGTTACACTATTAACAGATGGCACCACAGTTGAACACAGCAGTTAGAAGATAGCAGTGCTCATCTGCAGGCTGAAGACTTCCATTTTTGTCAATGGAGATTTCAGCCTGCATTTGATCACATGATCCATTGTCCTTGTCAGCTGGAATTGAGAACTAGCAGTATCGGCTGCTGGTCCTCTCTGGGAAGAACGTATATTAATGTAAACTCTACATAGAGCATCAGCATGGGAACAGTTATGTAATCATTGCAGGCAGGAAGGGGTTAAAGAAATAAAAAATGTATATTAAAGGATAAGTTCGCCTTTAGGAGCTTTGTACATGTTACACCCATATTTAAGGTATAATATGTAATATGCTTTTATACACCCACCTCCCGCCGCCAACACTCCCCTGTCTGTGACATCAGGCAGGTGTTCTTCTCCCTGCACCCACTGTCACATTTTGAAAATGGCACAGCTGTGCAGGGCTGCACCCGCACATCCACGTCATTCATTCACAGGAATCTGTGAATAAACTACAAGCGCTGTCCGCCACACCGGCAGATGGACTTGTAGTATCAGTCAGCATGCTCATAGTTCATTCACATTGGCTACAGTTCGGGAACTGTCTGTCCATACAGAGCAATGTCTGCAGGAGCCTGGTATTGCACCCACGATCCACTGTCCTTTTCAGCTGCCTATTTAAACTCTGTGGCTTTGCTGATTTCCAGGCAGTGCAAGTATTTCATATTTTGGGAGAGTAAATACCTTCTACCTGCACCGAAAGCTGTGGTTGCTCCTGTCGGTTTGTGAGTGTGGAATATCTGCACCAGCTCGAGATCAGCAGAGCCTAAAGTTGAACTCTGGGGACAATTTTAAACTACCCTTGCATCGGGGTCCCCCTGTCACTGCAAAGGTTAAATAGTCTTTTTTTTATGGTAAAAAGCAGTTTTAGTTACTTCATCCCTTGCTTCCCCAGCAGCTGGCACTTTCCTATTACCTCCAGAGTCTGTGTAGGCCCTGGGCGGTCTCACCTAAAATGCAGGACTGCTGGTTCTATAGTGTAGAGTTATGCACCCTGAGGTCATCACAGAGGACAAGGGGGCAATCTTTACGTCTGGAGAAAAAGAAATTGAATTTCCAAACACGGAAAGGTTTCTTCACAGTAAGAGCTGTGAAAATATGGAATAGACTCCCTCAAGAGTTGGTTCTGGCCAGCTCAGTAGATTGCTTTTAAAAAAAGCCTGGATTCTTTCTTAGATACACAGAATATAACTGGATACTAACATTTATAGGTAAAGTTGATTCAAGGAATATCCGATTGCCACTCGGGGATCAGGAAGGAATTTTGTTCCCAGCAGGATAAATTGTATCATGCTTTGCTGGGTTTTTTTGCCTTCCTCTGGATCAACTGTGGGTATAGGATTATAACTTTTTTTTTTTTTGGTTGATTTTGGATGGACTTTTGCTTTTTTTTCCAACCAGGATAACTGCGTAACTATGTAACTATGGTCCTTCATTGTACACAATGACATCAGAGTGTGATCAATGGACATTAAATATTGATCCAAATGATTACACTTTTGTTAGTTATTTCACAACTGCATCTGGCTCACAAAAAACTCATGAGACTAGTTCTCTCCTCTCTCCTGGAGGATAACTAGCATTGCTAATTTTTTTTCTGCCATTGATTGGACCTTCTTCTCTACTGCAGCTAGACCAAGCACCAGCTTTCACACCATAGCCTGGTTGTCTTCAAAATGAGGCCAGAGCTTCTGGCATGTACCTCATCAAGCAGGGTCTTTTTGACTTCCATCGTGTCTACAATGTTCTGGATTTCTCGTGTGTGTTGGGCTGTATGTATCTCTGTTTGTACCTGTCTATACCATCTGTCTGCAATCTACATTTATCGACCATTGCTTGTTTACCTGTTTAAAACTAGGAGTCTGTTTATTACCTGTTTGTCTGCACCAGTCCTGATCACCTGCTTGTCTGTGCTACTTCCTCCGTTATTGAAAGTCATTGCTCAGACCACAGTTCTGTGGACCTTTAAATGCCATTGGCCCTGCCCTGCTATTACCAATGGGTCCACGGAGCTCTTTGACACATAATTTTTATAAAAATGGTGATAGCAGGCAGCTAATTCTACTTCAGAATGTTGAATAAAATTAGAGCTGTCAGTGGTATGGGTGCAGACCATCTCAGAAGGATTCAAAGCTGTGTTGACTTTTTTTTCCCTGATGAACCATTTTAATGAGTACGTTCGTATGATTTTTCTATGTTTTACAGACCTTGCTGCATCATCTGCTGGACACGATCAGGGGAAATTCTGCACATAACTTCAGTCTTTTACTTCTCTGGGCATCACAGGCCAATGCCAACCCTGTAAGTGCAGCTAGATGAATTGTCTCAGCCAAAGTACTATGGTAGAGAAGGAGGATTTGTTTTTTTTCTTTGTTTTAGCTTTGGGTGGTGGTGGTCTTTCACATTTGTTTCTAAAAAGATAAGTCTTTAAGAGGACCTGCTCTGTGGAAGTTTTGCCCAAAAGAAAGCAGGTGGAGTGCAAAGAACTAGTCACCAGTATTACCTGTTGTCTCCCTGCAACTGATCTTTCCCCATTACTGTCTTACCATGCCTTGCTCTGCATTGTGTCTCTTTGCGGAGGTGGCCATCTTGGTAGAAGAGCAGGCCTCTGCATCCTAATGCCAAAGCTGCCCTTTTCCCAATGACTAGTTATTTTATAGTTAGTGGGGGAAAGCTTAACGCAACATTAAACCTTTGGGTTTTTTTTATTAAAATAACAAACATGTTACACTTACCTGCTCTGTGCAGTTCCACTTTAAGCCTTTGGAGCCATTTTAAGAATCAGCAGGTAAAAGGTATAGAAATCACAGATCCAAAGAATGAACAAACAGAAGCTGAGAGATCCTTGCATTGCAGATCCTCAAGTACAGCTTCCTCTCCAGGAAGGAGAACAGTGAGCAGCACAGTAGTGATACCCTAAATCTCACTCTTATGAGAATAGTATTCAGAGACAGCTGTGCATTAAAGTGTTACTAAACCCAGGACCCTGCATTCACTAAATCTGGTTTCCCACAGTACACAGAACATGGAAATGCAATTATTTTAGTAAATATAAACTTCTAAATACCTTTTGTTATCAGCAGTTAGAGCAGTCATGTGACTTCTATCCATGTCCAGCAGAACACTGGTTAAAGCTTGTAGGAGTTTTCATTCTCCCCTGATTGTCTTATGAGGCTACAGTACCTCTGATCCTCTGTCTGGACAGTTCGGATTGGCCCTGTGCTGATCACATGCACCCTCTCAAGAAATAACAAACTCTAGCAATACACACCCAACAAAGCATGTGCAGCTTGCCCCCAAGGCTTTGTTCTATCAGCAGAAGGATTGGGCACTGTTGAAGAAGGGGAGGATCAGAGAAGACAGGAACAAACCTTCTTTTTACACAATGTAGAGCATTAACCCCTTAGGTTCCACAGTGACAGAGGAAGACAGAGGAATGCTTAGCCATGTGAAGTACACTTCAGGGAATTCAAAGTAAAATGTACATTATTCAGCGCACTGCTGAGGTGTACGTATCATATCTAGATCTTTACTACATAGCAAATCTTTACTAGAGAGGGACAGGATTAGATCCCCTGTCTAATTTTTACTGCTGTTGGGAGCTCCAATATTATTATTATTATACAGGATTTATATAGCGCCAACAGTTTGCTCAGCGCTTTACATTATGGTGGGAGGCAGTACACGAGACAACACAGTAACAATACAATTCAATACAAGAGGGGTTCGAGGGCCCTGCTCCTTGGAGCTTACAATCTAGTAGATAGATATTTCCCTAATTTCCCGTCCTGCCGACAATGTTTTAGCAGACAAAAATGAGGGGAACTCTCAAAAAACACAAACAGAAATAATAATAATAATAATAATAAAAAAAAAAAATGTCTTAGCAGAGTAGAGGATGGCTATAAACCCCGGTCACCTTATTTGTAGTCTTTTCTATAACTTCCTGTCTGGTAAAACTGTTGTCAGCAGCACAGGAATTAGGAGGAAATATCTCTAGCGGAGCACCAGATTTAACCAGAGAGATAGTCCAACTGCATTCTGACACATTTCACCCGGACGGGCTTATTCATAGAGACTGATTTGCCAACTAGGTCATTTTTTGCTAGAAATTACTGTAAACCTTTCAAAAGTACCGTATATATTTTCTGAAAGCAGAAACTTTGGAAAAGAAAATAGTAGTAGTTGCAATTTTTTTTATGTTGCACAATAATTTGCACAGCTATATATCAAATGCATATTTACAAGAAAGAATGCACAAAAATGAATTTTAGTGTAAACAAACACAATATTATATCCAGGGCCATTTGTTGCAGGAAAGATCAAGGGATGTAAGTTCCCGAAGTTCCTTCTTTTCCCATGCTCCTGGGGTATCTAGAGGAACAGAAGAGCCTAGGAGCCTCCATGAGTGCTGTTTCTGTGAAAGGGGAGGTGCACTTTGAGAACCCCATAAAAGTGATCAAAATTACTTTTATCATAAAGCCCTTCGCTGGATCTTAAAACCAGTACTAATCTTGATTCAACTGGTTGTCTACCATGCCGTTTGTAAATGTACTTTGGTAGACATGTGGTTAAGCCCACCTTATCAGAAGGAGGTCTCTGGGCAGGGACTGTTGCTGCTAGACAGTTGTGGCTGAATAAAGTTTTATCCAGTGACATCATTGGTGTGCGACCTTCCATTTCATCAGATATACAGAGTTTTATTTATTACAGAGTCTGAAGAGCTTTCATTCATTCACTTTTATTCCACCAGAGTATTCTGATTGGATGCTACAGGAGATTACAGACCTAGGCAATACTAACCGCAGACAGTTCTTCTTGAAGACCCTTTTATAAGTGAAGCCAATTGTCTGAAAATGCCTTATTGTTCATTATATCAGGTTGTATTGACTGTAGCAAGCAGATTTTCCCTTCTGCAGAGCAATGACAAGAAGATTCTGATTGGCTGCTATGGACAATAAGCGATGCGTGTTTCTCAGATAAATTAGTATATAGCTTCAGGTGTAATGTGTGTAATATGATTGGAAGACTTTTCAGAATACCAGCAATTCATTAATGTCTTCATCATCTATTATTTTAGGTTTCATTTTGGACGCTTGCTTTTATCATTTCGGATCCAGAGATTTACAAGAAGGTCATAAGTGAAATTACTTCTGTCTTTGGTGAAAGAGGTAACTATGTTTCAAATGTCTACAAATGTGAAGTCACCAGGTATTATTAAAGTATATCTAAACCTAAAACCAGAAACTCCATAAACTGCAGCTTACCACTGCGGGCTACAGTGGTTTTCTGTTCAGGCTTTTTTTTTATACTTTATTTCCCCTGGTGATCCTGCCAGTAACGCACTTCCTAAGAAATAGGACACTTCAATCCATCTTCCTGCGCTTGGGGAGTGGGCCCAGGGGCGTTAATGGGCTAAGGTCAGACACTTGGCCATCATGGGGTGCACTTGCCTTGCTGCCCTCACAAGACCGGGGAGGTCTAGGAACACTGCAGTAAGGATAAACAAACAGGGAGCGCTCTGGCCTAGTGCATTATCCTTTCAAATAGTGAATTTATTGTAAAAAAGTAAGTATTACACAATGTCATAAAAGGTGCAAATACATCTCTTTTGGTACAGCACGAACAATCTGCAAAGTATCACAGTGTACAGAAACAATGGAACCTCTAGAGGCTGACACGTTTCGAGGACTTATCCTCTTCCTCGATAGGCTCTGATAAGTCCTCAAAATGCGTTAGCCTGATGTTCCATCGTTTCTGTACACAGTGATACTTTGCGGATTGTTTGTGCCATACCAAAAGAGAAGTATTTGCACCTTTTATGACATTGTGAGTATAATACTTACCTTTTTACAATAAATTCCCTATTTTTAAGGATAATACAGTAGGCCGGTGCGCCCTCTGTTTGTTTATTGTTACCGCAGTAACACACTTCGTGTCCTAGGGTGACAATGCTCTCCATATATCTTCTATCAGGAAAGGTGTTATCACCGTAGATTGCTCCTCTGATTTAGGGTAGAGAAACCTACACTTATCTTTATTAAAGGGAGGGGGTTGTGTAGTTCAGAGGATATCTCAGAAGGCAGATAATGTTGTTTTGAGAATTCAGTTCAGTACACAAGGACACTAGGACACCAGGCACAAGGACACTGGATTTTTATTGGGATCAACAGGCATTTTCTTTACTTTTACAAATTTTACTTAGCCTAAAGAAAAGAAAACAAATGCAATTGCCATTATGTCTAAAGACTGGTAAGCTACATTTCTTGGGTTTAGAGTTTCTTTTAAGGTACTTATAGGTACCATAAGACATGAAATCCCACATCAGATCCATCTTTGTAAGATTGGTTTCAATATCCCAATAAAGTGTTTCCAGCTTCAAAATGTGTGGAGCATTTTCCTCTAATAATACTTCCTCCTGGTGATGGCATTCACCTTCTCTTCTTATACCCTTGTCCTATAGCTTTTTCCCTGTTCTATAATTGATATTCATGTAGTCCAACCCCCCCCAAAAAAATTAATAGTCAACAGTTACAAATACTGTACTTGCTGAGTTTTAATAAAAGGACACTTATCCAGGGATCTAGCACCGCTCTCACCCAGGCCATTCTTTGCTGGTCTAAAGGTCCCCAGCTCCGGCATGGTTACTTTGGAATCCTTGCAGCTTCATAGCTGGCTTCCCACTGTGTATGTCCCAGAAGACTGCGGGCAAAGAGAGAGGGAGCCCCTTCTGCCCCGACCGGAAAATGGTAGCGGGTACCCATGTAAACTAAGTACCTATTCCCCCCCTCAAAAAAATGTCTCCACCAGTGGGAGGGGAGGGAGGAGGAGGCAGAAAAGTGGAATTTCCCCTTTTGAGCAAAGTTCCGCTTTACCTTACTATTGTGTGCCAAATTGTTCATTTGATCTTTATATGATTTATAAAATTGGACATGTATTGGTTTTTAAATGATATTATGTGTTAGAGTATTTTTATACGGGTTCATTCCCAGTATTTCCAGGAATTTAGTTATTGTACAGCAGTGCAGCAGTTTGTGGGAGTAAGTTTTGGTATGGCATTTGCTGCTTTGAGCCCCTAGCTAGCTCGCTTAGGTGGTCCTAACAGTTTTGTTCTTTGTTGGCAGATAAACATGTACACTTGTACTGAGCATCCTTGTATGTTTATTGATGGGGATGAATCTCATGGCACTGGCCTGATCTCTGAAGAGTAAAATCAATCAGATGAGAAAGCCAATCTGTGATTCCTCAAGATTCAGCAGATAGGAGGTATCTGCTGCGTTTTATGAGCACCCAACAGCTTATAATCATTTCCCAATCCAATTTTTAATCGGGAACCCTTAGACAAGGGTATCCCAACCAGTGCTATGTGTTACCCAACAGCTACAAGTATCACCCTGATGTTCAAAAGCCACATGGGGCTCTTTGGTATGGTTCACACAGTCCTCAGACCTCAGCAGTCAGTAGTGGCAGTGGGAACTTTGCTTTGTAAAGGAATAATAGAGGTAATCTCTACTAGCCTCATGTAACGTATCTCCAGTCTCTCCCTGTTTTCTGCAGCATGTCTCCATTATCAACTCATACCTGTAGCATATCCACAGTCACAGTCAGTCATTTCCTGTAATATGTCTACAGTCTTTGAAAGTTGTCCCTAGCATTGCATATACTGGACATTACATGCGACCCATGGGTCATGTCAGGGGACACAGCTGAGACACCCTATACCCTGACACCAATGATCTAATATATATAAAGGGATGTATTTTGGCACCCAAATTCTTACCAATTGCAACCCAATTCAATCTTTCGTCTGCAGGAAGCCAACACTTGACTAGTTGCTATAAGCTGGTCAGCCATAATGTTATTATCACTCACAGGTTAAGTGAATAACATTGATCTCCTTACAATGGCATCTAAAAGTTGTGGAATATATTAAGCAGCAAGTAAACATGTCCATGAAGTTGATGTGTTGAAAGCAGAAAAAATGGGCAACTCAGTGTGTTGTGTATGGGGCTGCATAGCTGCAGACCAGTCAGGGTACCCATGCTGACCTGTGCCCACAGCCAAAAGTTCCTACAGTGGCACATGATAATCAGGACTGGACCAAGGAGCACCAGAAGAAGGTGGCTTTGTCTGATAAATCATGTTTCTTACATCATTTGGATGGTCGGGTACATGTGTGTCACTTACCTGGGGAAGAGATGGCACCAGGATGCAGTATGGAAAGAAGGCAGTCAGAAGATGCAGTGTGATGCTTTGGGCAATATTCTGTTGGGAAACCTTGAGTCCTGCCATTCACGTGAATGCTATTTTACATGTACCACCTACCTGAACATTGTTGCTGACCAAGTACACCCTCCATGAAAACAGTATTCCCTGATGGCAGTGGCCTCTTTCAGAAGGATAATGTGCCCTGCCACACTGTAAAAACAGTTCAAGAATTGTTTGAGGAACACAAATAAGGAGTTTGAGGTGTTGACCTGGCTTCGCAATTCTCCAGATCCAAGCATATGTGGGATGTGCTGGAAAAACAAGTCTGATTCATGGAGGTCCCACCTGGCAACTTATGGGACTTAAAGGATCTGCTACTGATTGCTTGGTGCCAGATACCACAGCATACCTTCAGAGGTCTAGTAGAGTTCATGCCTTAATAGGTCAGGGCTGTTTTGGAGGCAAAGGGGGGACCTACTCAATATTAGGTGGGTGGTCATAAAGTTATGGCTGATCAGTGTATTTTCTACTGCAGGCAATGCAGCTTGCTCAAGGATCCACCAGCTTTCTGATGAGACTATCTCTAAGCTCTCCCATCTTGTAAGAAAATTAGATTTACAGTACAATGCAATGCAGTAGAATCTGACCTTTATAATTTAGTAAATCTTCTGCAGGACTAATGGAGGTAAATATCTAGGTATTAGGAAGCAGCTCTAGATGCTAGGAAAATGTACTGTATTTATCCACACTGTGTATGTGCTGGTGATAAAGGTACCACCCATGCTAAGATACAATGCCAGAAATGAAAGGCATACTTGGTGCTGCAACCACCAAGTTTCTTACCCTGAAGCACCATTAAAGCTCAGGGTAGGTGGCTTAACATTTCCAGCCTGTCCACCTCTTTGATTGATTTTGAGTTCCTACTTGTTTTTACCACATGCTTTTATAAAAGGTACATATATCTGATGATGAGCATGTTCTTCCCTCGCTGCTTATACAGGGTTATTTAATTAGGTGTAGCAGATTTCAACACTTTATTTAAAAAAAAAACTGAAAGAGATAGAAGAACATTCCGCACATCACTGGACAGAGGAAGCTTCAAAATGTATCATCCTTGAGGTTGTATGCACTCAACATGAGCACCATGTGTTGTGCGACAAACATCAAAACAGTAGACCATTTTTTGCAACTCTCCAATCAACTGCTTCCTAATTAATGATCTGACAGCTTCAACAATTCTATGTCTCAGATCTCAATTTTGGTCTCCAGGATTCAATACATGCAGTAACTGCAACTTGTACGGCTTCATATGCAGACCAGAACACGGCATACCGTCTGAGGTATTCCAAGTTCAACGTATGCATGTGCTGTGGATTTCCTAGGGCACCCTTCAAATGCACCTTGGATACATTCAACATTTTCATCTGATGTGTGAAGATGACCAGTGCTTTTTCTTTTGCATATGCAACCATTTCAGCTAATTTTTTTTTTTCATGCCACTGGTAAATTTGCTTATAACGAGACAGCTGTTTGCTGAACCGGCGGCGGAATTCATGCTGCACTTGAACACTTCGCAAACTACAGCACACAAAACGATCTTTCGTGTGGCATCACCATTTTCCTATAAACAAGAAACAGCTCCGATGTGTGGCATTGAATGGAACTTCTAGGAGGGCTTTTAACTTTGACCTTCCTCTATCCAGTGATTCGTGGAATGTGCATATATCCCTTACAGTTTGTTTGAAAGAAAAAGTTAAAATCTGCTCCATCTTTTTGGATAACCCTGTATTTTTGTCTGCAGTGCCAGCATTTTAAAGCTCAACTCCAAAAAGCAAAAATTTTCACTTACAAAATATTAAATTCCTTTACAACCTCAAAGGATCTACTTTATGTGTGCAAAGTGCTTTTACAAACCAAGATATTACCTTGTAAAAGTAGTGGTGACATCGTCATTGTGTTGTAC